AATATCTCATTTAGCTCGGAATCATGCGTTCCAGTAATGATGGGGGACGGAGAGGACAGATCGTCTATTGGCTGGGCAGGTGGCAAAGACGAAGGAGCAGGAGAAGGCTAGTCAAATCCGTCGCTGAGTGTGATGGGTTCGCTTTCATCCTCAGCCCCGACCGTCCCTTCTACCTCCACTTGATCGCCGAGGCTGGATCGGAAGCGTTCATCCAAGGCTTCGTCATCGGCCTCGCTTCGGAAGCTGTGCATGGCGAACAAGTCCGAGCCTACCTCGACATAGCAGGCGTGAAGGGCGGCGTCCCAACCTTCTTTGAAAGCCTTCTTCTTGGCTTCCTCGAAAGTGGGACCATTTGGTCTTGAGTGGTTGACCACACCCTCTGACACTCCGATTGCAGCCTTTCCTGCTCCCCCACTTTTTCTACTGTCAAGGAGTCCACTTTGGCAGTGAGGGCGCTGATTACAGACTAGGACTCATGCAGCTTGGCTTCAGAGGAGGACACTCGCAGATCGTACTCCTTGGCCTTCTTTATCGTTGCGGCTTCACCTGCCTTGGCTTTTTCTAGCTCGGCATGAATGGCGTCCCGCTGGCGGATGAGCTCGACGATATGCTTGTTTTGGATAGTGCTCATCAGGAGCCGATTGTCCGAGTAACCTTTATACACGGCCATATCGACGTCAAATTGAAGCGTCCTCGCTACGGCCAAGGCCACTTCGAGGGATTGCAGGATGGAGTCGGCTTCCAGAACAGGCCGATCGTTCCTGGTCTCGGCCCGAGCAACCCACTCGCCCGAGACAAACGAACCCGGGGCTAGGGCGTTATACCGCTGCTTTACGTGGTGCTCTTCTGATTATTCGACGTCCCGAGCACGCTTGTCCCTCATCCGCTCTCCCGGGACGAGGACTTGTTGAGATTGGGGCCTTTGCCTGGTTGGCACGACCGAATCTTGGGGTTGCATACGCTACGGCGGCGACTGCCTCCGAGGAGAACTGGGCTGGGGAATGATGGGGGCGGCGTTGGAAGGCCCGGCGAGCCTAGCTCTCCTTGTCGAGGTGGGGGCCTCCATTGTAGCCGCGGTGATAAGTGGCGGATTAAATATTTCGGGCGGGAGTGACTCAGGAGCGTGATGTTGAGACTTTTCTTTGGAACCTCCCTCGGATTTTTCCTCTTTCAACGAGGAGTGATCTTCCCAAACGGAAGGGTTGAAAGGAGGTGGGATCTGCGAGAATCGATTGTAGGTCGGCGTGTAGCCAAGAAGGGTATGCGCCGCTCGTTCAATCGGATCAGAGGACCAAACCCTTAGCAGATCAGCAAATCGGACTTGAGACCTAAGCGGTTGAGCAGCGTCCCGGCGATATCCTTCTGCAAAAATAAAGCAAAAATCAGTACGTCCCTTGGGCCCAAGAATAAATAGGTTAAGAAGTCGAAAAGAAAATACACCTTCATCCCTCGGCACTTTAGGGCAGTATAATCCGTCATACTCGAGCTCGGTCCCTTTCTCCCAACTGTTGTCGAGCATGATCAGATCGTCTACATACCCCTTGTTCGAGTCAAGCATGTGGGTTATCAAGTACATTGAGGAATCTCGAGCCTGGAGGTAATATCTCCCCCCGGCGACGAGCCTTAGGTCGTAACAGAATAAAATTTCGTCTACCCCTAAGTTGGTCTCCAGCCGAGTGTTTAAGGCGGTTACGCCCATCACAATCCTAAAGAAGTTAATCCCACATTGAAGGGAAAAGAGCTTCAGTTGCATCAAGACTCCCAGCAACAGGGGGATGCAGGGAGAAGGTCAACCCTCCCTCCATGATGGCCTTCGTCCAGAAAGGCATCATGTCCACATTCCCCATATCCCTTCCTATGGTGAGTGGGGTTGAAGGGGAAGGCAAAGACAGGCTCACGGATGTGTACCTAACTCTAAAGACTTGGATATTCTCATCTGTCACTTGGGTTCTTCTCATCTTGTGGGTAGTACTAGCCCTAACAGACGTTTCCCCCCCGGTTCTACTAGTTCTAGCCATTGGTGAGCGCTAAGAGGATGAGATACAGAGGAAATAAAGAAAGAAGAAGCTCGAGTGGAAGTAGTTATAGGAGGGGGTTTTTCAGAGAGGTCTTGGAGGACGAAGGAAACTCGGAGGACAGGAGAGCACTCGGGGTTTGACTGCTGAGGAGAGATTGAGGATGCAAAAGTTCTGAGAAGGTAGGAAAACCTCATATTTATACTGCCTCACACGGAGTGGGAATCGAAAAGTTGGCTCATCATTAGGGCATTTAAAAAGGGCGGCACCAGACGTGCGAGTAACCGTCCCTATTTATGAGGCATGATGATGGAGCCCCAGTCCCTTTACACCACTTGTCTTGCGCTGCGAAAAGGATTACGGCTGGGGGGCAGTTGGTGGGACACCAGTGCGGCTCTTCGGCCCCTGGGTTGACACGTGGAACAACGAAGCCGTCGGGATGACCAAAAGATACCGAGGAGGTAAGCCAAGGTACGGTGACACGGAGCGACCGAGTATGACAGTCGGTGTCGTATTTAATGCGATGTGACCTCATATTTATGACAGAATGAGTGATAGTGACATGACAAATAAATACACGCCTGCAGGTGACTGCCCTCTGAGAGTCTAAGCCTACTGTTATAATGGCTAAACATTAATGACTGATGCGCCGAGACGACGCATCAGATCTCCCGAGGAACTGTTCCGCCGAGAAGTCAATGGATTTGGTTATTCGGGGAGTGGCATAAGTGTTCGGCGGATGGCCAAGCTGTTACCCCATTTTCTTAGCATTCAATAGGAGGAGACGTGAATAGGAAACATTCACTGCACAAGGAATGATGTGTCAGATATGAAGATGTCCAGATAGGACTGAAGATCTTTGGCAATCATTAGTAATTCAGGTATAAATATCCCTCAGAAAAATGGACAAAGGTACACAAACTCAAACCAGAAAAAGTCCATTAAGCAAAACCCTTCGATCTTTTACTAACTTAAGTTTCGAAGGGGATTAGCTGGGCACACACCTGGCCCCCCTTTTTTCTAACCCTGTTGTTCCAGGTTCGCCAATTGGGAGATCGCCGGCTCACACAATTGTAGGAATCTTCCCATGCAATGACTTACTTTTGATTAAAAAGTAGATTAGTCGAAGTGCACGTAAATTAACCGAGACACATCTGACCATTGAATATATAGCTAATTCCTCGGAGACATTGACCCACTTCACAAATCGAATGAGAGTTATTTTAATGAAAATAATTCTAACATCTGATCTTGGAGCTAATTGAAAATATTCAGTATTAAGGTAGAGATTTACAAGACATTGTTTCAGTTTGGCTGAAAAAGAAATTCATTTGATTAAAATTTAAGCAACACTTGGATTGAGGTTTTCGATTTTTTTATTCAAAATATGCAGGTATCTAAATTTCGACAAGGTATGTATGAAAAATATACAAAAAAATGTTAAAAATGTCATGTAAATTCAGATATTCTAAATTTGAATCTTTACAATCCTTTAAAGTCAGAATATGAGAGATTTATTATTCATGAATACCCTAGTCTCGACGTGAATGACATACTTTTAACCGGATTAAAGAAAAAATTAGTAGCGACAAACATAAATTGATTTGAAAATTTTTGATGTTAAAAAAAAAAAAAAATGTTAGTGTCCCCGGATGGTCCATGCCTCGAACGATTACCAAGCAAAGTGCCAAAATGTTAAGCAGGCCATGGGCTATGCCCACAGTCTAGAGGGGAGGCCACGGGCCTATTTTTGGCCCATAGTATTTTGGTTTTATAGACGACTACGCCACACTCCCATACGCAAACTTCTCCTCACCATTATGGCCAGACCTATGGTCGACTCACGGAAAGTCCATTAGGCCTCATTCAACAAATAATGACCCAACAACATACCCTAGAATTGGGCCTGGGCCACTAAATTGTTGGCCGGCTCTGCCGATTGGAAATAAGTTGGGTTAAATAGCTTGTCCGTCAATAAGGATTGCAGCTAGCTAGCCGGCTTGTCCTCATCATGTGGTGTCAACGCCATGCACAAGTAACAAAATCATTTAGAATGTTTAATCATTCTTTGTAGTTTTAAGGATCTTGTTAAATTGGTATTTCTTTTTTCTTTTTCCTTTTTCTTTTTTGTCTTCCTTATCTTGTTTACATTTTCTCAATTTTTTTTCAAGTTTAAATGTTTAATCGCGTGTCCAACACGGCACATATGTATATAGATATGCTATTGTTTATATGAGTTGCAGTCTTGCAAATTAGTAATAAAACTTGTGTTTAGTTTTTTGATTAATTATATTTTATCTAAAAAATATTACCAACTGCAGGTACATATTTCAAAATAATTTTTAACATTCTAATTTTCTAAAACTCCGACTTTTATCAATTAATATTAATTTTTTAAAAATGTGAATTATCAATTATTTAATACATTAACATAAATATAAATTACTACCTCCTCCCATATTTTCTTCCCTAACCCTAAATCCCCAACCCATATTTCCCTCTGTCTGTCTCTCTCTCTCTCACACACACACACACACCGGTCTAACCCCTCTCTTTCTCTCTCTCCCTCTCTCTCTCCAGGAAGGCAACAACCAGAATTTTTACCTCTTATTCTGACTCCAAACTGTTGTAACTCAACAACAGTTTGGAGATCGGATACATGCATTCTGAGTCGGAGCCCACCCCTAGTAAAAGAAACTAGATTTGCTCTGCCTTCTTGTATATTTTTTCTTAATTTTATTTAATGATAATTGTCCATCGTCTAGCGAGAAATTCACTTATATATTGTGGATAATTCTTCATAGATTGATGAAAATTCAGGAAAACACAGGACACATACATATTCTACAAACAAGAAACTTAACCATACTCACACTAGACACGCATACATATTATAGCTGAGTCGCTATTAATTAGAGAATGGTCACACCAGGTTTTGAAGGAGTGATAATATCGTCAACAAGTGAACGAAGCTTATGGTCATGCTCAAGCAAGTGAAAGAAGCTTGTGATCATGTTCAAGCATGGCCATGTTGTCTTCAACCATGTTCACCCACGCTTCAATCCCATCCCCATCCCTTGTACTCATCAATATCACCACGTTCTTGAACGGCATGGCTGTAGTGCAGACCCAAACAGGTTTGCCCCAGCCATAATCCACTTCGTACACAGGAAATCTACACCAACTGCTAAAATTACAGAACTCTAAATCTCCTCGAGAAAACTGCTCTTTTGATCGTTTCAAATAGTTCAAATACTCCTCTCCATCTTGGAGTTTTTTCACGTAGTCTCCATTGATCTTCCTTATCGCGTTCCTGAGCTTGAAAACCAGATCATGATAATCTTTGTCTTCCTCAGGCTTTGACACTGCAAGAGCAAAACTCCATAGATTTCCAAAGGCATGTTTAGAAATGGGTGGATGCATCTTGGGCCTCAAGTTCACTGCATGAACTGCAGCAAATAGCTTTTTTGAATCCATTTGAGCTTTGGCATTGGCAACCTCCATGAAATGGCTCCAGATGAAAGCTGATACGGCTTCAACCCGGGTCGGATCCTTCACTGTTGATTCAGCAGCAGAGCATGCAGATTTCTTGAGAGTTTCTAACTTTGATTTATCAAACACAAATCTTCGGGTCACAATCTTCTCTTTGCTTATGACAGCATTTGGTTCGAACCCAGATAAATCTCTTGGTGGAAAGGGTGACGAATCGATACCAAAATCAGGACTCAAATTTTTGCTATCTCCACATGATTTACTAGCCCATGCATTCATGAAGTTGATCAACGAAGATCCATCGGCGATCTTGTGAGACATATTGACGCCGATGGCCATCCCACCACAGTCAAAAAAGTTTATCTGAATGGCCAGGAGGGTCTCCTTCACAGTTTCAATACTGCTATAAGGTTCTACAGGGAGGAACTGTTTCAATTCCTCCATGCTTGGCTCTGCAATAACTTCTGAGAGTTGAGCATGGACTTGAGCTTCAACATACTTAACTCCAGTGTCATCACAATCAATGAAAAAATCATCTTTGATCCTTCCAGATAATGGGTAAAACTGAGTTAGGGTTTCTGATAATGCTTGTTTCAGAGATTTAGGTTTTTGGGTAGGATCAATCTTGGAGCCCAACTGAGGAGGATAGAAGAGAATGATGGGAACGTAAACTGGTGGTGCAATCTGGTCTAAGAAGGAGAGTTTGAGTTTTTTCAGGTGATGGGGTGTTGGAGATAAGGGTTTAATCATATGTTTGGAGACTATCTCAACATTTAGCACCATCTTTCCTTTTTTTGCGAACTATACCAAGGCTCAACAATGATGGGTTTTTTACTTGAGTGGATTTCTATGCCAATTTTGTGAAATGCATACCCCCTTTTATAGAATTACCGGTGAGATCCCACTTAGTGACATCGTCAAAGTTAATATAAAGAAAGATCTTTTAAGATCGATCAACCTTTTGAAGACCGATCAACCATCGTCATTGAGATTTAATTTATTATGATTTTTAGATTGATTGTGAATCCTATTAAAAATTTAAATTTGGTATTAATTCAATAATTTTAATAAAATTATATCATTGAATCAATAAATTAGATTAAATTTTTAAATTCAAATAGCATTACTCTGAAAGATGATATGATTTTCTTCTATAAGTATATAATCAAAATATTAAGACTAATATGAGTGTACGAATAGTTAAAATAATTGACATGTAAATATGAACTTAAAAATTAGACTCGATAATTTTAACTATTGATTTCACTGTGGATCCTAACAAATGTTAGGATCTACCTACTTATTCAATGATTGAGATTATCAAATTTAATTTTTAAATTCATCTAACATTATTTTAGCATTATTTTACATCAAATTAGTAAAAAGAAATGATAAATTAAAGATGGCCATTCCACNTTATCAAACACAAATCTTCGGGTCACAATCTTCTCTTTGCTTATGACAGCATTTGGTTCGAACCCAGATAAATCTCTTGGTGGAAAGGGTGACGAATCGATACCAAAATCAGGACTCAAATTTTTGCTATCTCCACATGATTTACTAGCCCATGCATTCATGAAGTTGATCAACGAAGATCCATCGGCGATCTTGTGAGACATATTGACGCCGATGGCCATCCCACCACAGTCAAAAAAGTTTATCTGAATGGCCAGGAGGGTCTCCTTCACAGTTTCAATACTGCTATAAGGTTCTACAGGGAGGAACTGTTTCAATTCCTCCATGCTTGGCTCTGCAATAACTTCTGAGAGTTGAGCATGGACTTGAGCTTCAACATACTTAACTCCAGTGTCATCACAATCAATGAAAAAATCATCTTTGATCCTTCCAGATAATGGGTAAAACTGAGTTAGGGTTTCTGATAATGCTTGTTTCAGAGATTTAGGTTTTTGGGTAGGATCAATCTTGGAGCCCAACTGAGGAGGATAGAAGAGAATGATGGGAACGTAAACTGGTGGTGCAATCTGGTCTAAGAAGGAGAGTTTGAGTTTTTTCAGGTGATGGGGTGTTGGAGATGAGGGTTTAATCATATGTTTGGAGACTATCTCAACATTTAGCACCATCTTTCCTTTTTTTGCGAACTATACCAAGGCTCAACAATGATGGGTTTTTTACTTGAGTGGATTTCTATGCCAATTTTGTGAAATGCATACCCCCTTTTATAGAATTACCGGTGAGATCCCACTTAGTGACATCGTCAAAGTTAATATAAAGAAAGATCTTTTAAGATCGATCAACCTTTTGAAGACCGATCAACCATCGTCATTGAGATTTAATTTATTATGATTTTTAGATTGATTGTGAATCCTATTAAAAATTTAAATTTGGTATTAATTCAATAATTTTAATAAAATTATATCATTGAATCAATAAATTAGATTAAATTTTTAAATTCAAATAGCATTACTCTGAAAGATGATATGATTTTCTTCTATAAGTATATAATCAAAATATTAAGACTAATATGAGTGTACGAATAGTTAAAATAATTGACATGTAAATATGAACTTAAAAATTAGACTCGATAATTTTAACTATTGATTTCACTGTGGATCCTAACAAATGTTAGGATCTACCTACTTATTCAATGATTGAGATTATCAAATTTAATTTTTAAATTCATCTAACATTATTTTAGCATTATTTTACATCAAATTAGTAAAAAGAAATGATAAATTAAAGATGGCCATTCCACGAAGACAGATCATCAGGTCATAAGCCTACCATATTTGACTGAGAAAAAAAAAAGGTAACAAATGAAAGCATATGGAGTGTATGATTATGCTCTTTCGCCGTGGCATTGTAAATAAGACTACCACACTATTGCGAAAGGTAAAGCTAATAAATAAGAATAGAATACAAAAACACATTTTAAGGTTAAGTTGTATTTTTTTGAATTGTAAGTTATATTGATCATAAAAATAATAATTTTTATATTTTAAATTATAGTTTTTAAAAATTAAGTTATACCTTTCAAATGTGAAACTATGACCGATTGAGTTTATTTATTATTGATCACAAAAGTATATTGATAATGTATGCAACACGATAGAGCTGAGATAAGAGATTGATGAGTACTGAGTAACTCTGAGTTCCTAAGCTCTTAGGTTTTGGACAAGGAAAAGGGATTAACACACACAAAGTTTATATTAGTTCACCAACTCGAGAGCTCAACTAATTCACTTTCAAAGGAGTTTCTTACTTCTGTGACTTATATTAATAAGAAAAGAGATTACAAAGTATTTGTTCAGGCTATAATGACTTGTTTGTCTTTTGAGGGGGTAATGCCCTATATTTATAGTTGGCCCAAGGTCTCGTCTAATCTTTGGCGAGATCTCTGTTTCCTTTTTGTAACGGTTGCTAATATTGTGCAACGGCTACAAGAGTGTTGGACAGTTGCGACTTCTTTGTCTGAATAAATGACTGTTACGATTTGTGTGGTACTTTGATGGAAGACGGTTGTCACAAGTGCTACTAGTACAAGTGTTGCTATCGGAAAAGGGGTGCTGACCTCGAGCTTCTTGGTCACCAAGAGTGGGCTTAACTCCCTATCTAGGGAGGTCTGTGTTGATCACCCGAGTTCATCCGTGCGTCAAGTTATTTATTTCAAATGTAAAATTTTCACTTATTGATTTTATTTATGTTTGATCGCAATATTATATCATCAATCATGAATAATTCAATAAAATGTACATTTATATTTAATATAAATAATTTAGTCATCAATAATAAGAATTTGTGGTACGTATTAATTTGGGTTACGATAATTTTATCCCTGTCAAGGATGCTATATGTGACCTATTTCTAACCAAGGAGGTCTAATCCTCCTATTTCTCGACAATATTATTTTAAATTAGTAAATAAAAGATTTTATAGAGAATAAGAAAAGAAATTTCTTACAGAAAAAGGAAGAACTCTAAAAAAAAAAAAATTGATCTTTCAGCATCACAAGTTAATGTGATGAGAACCACCTATGAACCAATGTTTTTAAAATTGAGATCTTATCTTGGATCGATGAGGTTGTTGTAAGATCGGGATCGTAGGATCAAATTGAGAATCGTAAAATCCTATCAACTGAGAAAATGAGACGAAAAATACATGTAATAATACAAAATTCTTAAAAACAAGACTTGAACAAACTTAATATCTATGCAAATATGAATATTACAATAAAGATCAAAACTTAAGGTATGATTGAAATTTGATAAACTGCAATTGAACATTAAAGAAGGTTTAAGATCAAAGAAGGCCTGTTAATCTTGTGAGATTATACAAAGAGGAATAAAAAAATTTAAGTATTTTTATATCAACTTTCAGAAAAGAGATAAAAGATAAAGAGTAGAGACTAAAAAGTTAAAAAACAATTGGATAATAACTTTTGGCTATTCGATATTCAAACAAAAAAAAACATAAAGAAAAAAAAAAAAAAGACCATTTGGCTATGATCACTCATCGTGAGAGAAGATTAAATCTAACCATTTTTTTAAACTTTTAAGCAAGAGAAAGAAACAAAAAAAAAGACATTTTTGGCAAACAAACTTCTTGTAGCTTTTCTTATCTTTTGAAATTTTTCAATAGACTCACAAATATATAAGGCATTCATATTTGTATTGAGTACTTAACAATAAAAACTGAAATATATGAATTGAATTACACGGTAACTAAATATGCCTACTCAACAAACCCAACAACTTGGATTGGTAAAGTCGGGATTCTAATATCCTATAAGATTCTAATCGCGATCCATTAAGAACATACGAATTTACAATCCTACGTGAGACTCGGATTGATTTGCTTATATTGGATCGTAAAATCATAATATTCTAAGAACCAGATCGGGATTTGATAACCATGCTATGAACCTTAATGGAAAGATCAACTTAGAGGGTTAAGAACACTGTTGTGTAGTTGTATGGGTCATATAAGATTGCGTGTGAGAAGATAAAAAGAAGCTAAAAAAATGAAAGTGTCATATTGGCGTGTTATGTGTGAAGAGAGGGAGAGAGATAGAGGACTGAGTCATAACACAAAAAACTTAAACAATTGTAATTATTTTGTCCGTTTGTTCACAATTAAAAAGGAGTAGGTGTAGTTCAAATTCAAACCTATAATTTGAACATTAGAGGGACGATAGTTACATCCACTCTTTTATGGTATAGGACTAGGTATCATTTCCTACTAACTCGACATAATTTCAACACTTAATCTAGTGTCGTCGGTGAATTGTTTACGTGTTTTAATATTATATAAATTTTTCAGTCAAAACAACGACTGCAATGAATTATACCTATGGATTAAGTGCATCTAAAATTCAAATAATACTTTTAGTATGTAAAAGATATGATCTAATTTGTTAATCTTAGGATATATCAGGTGATATGGTCTCAATAAAAAAGTCGAAGAATTGCAATAAGAATAATGAAAACTCAACTTATTGACTTAATTCGTGAATCATTAAGAGTGGGTCACAATATTAGTTGGTACACTCTTCTATAGAATTACTACTTCTCATTTCCTACTAATTTAACCAAATTTTGATGCTTAATATTGGACTTTTTCATTGAAAAATTAGGTTAAGAAATTATGCTAAATTTTTAAGTCTAATGTATAAGCATTGTAATCGTTGATTTGGCTGTGAAACATTTCCGATACGAAAACTCATTAGCATTCCAATACTTGAATTTAATTTGTCGACTTCGTAAATCATTGTGATTAGATTGAAATGAGTTGATATAAGACTTAATAAAACATTCCCTCATGCACCGGGAATCTAATAGATTTTCTCGCACCAAATTTTGACTTTGATGATTCATTGGATTGTTTAGGATGGGTGACAATTTCTTGTACAATTGGATATATAGCATTACTCGAATTTGACTTAAGACTAATAAATTAGGGATGTTAGCTAATATGAATTATATATAGAATAGATTACTATCAAATTTGAATAACTCTTTTATTTACTATTTCAAAATAATTTAATTAATTAGGATTGAATTACAAAACTACCCGATTTTTTTAAATTTTCTCGATTTTATGATCAGATATTGTATGAAATTTCTTGAAAAAAAAAATCCCTCAATTTTGTTAGGCTATAAATTATGTAAATTTGTATTTTTGGAGAGTTAATGTATTTAATTGGGAGAAGAAAAAAGATTTCAGTATTTTTTATATACCATTATGCATGTCAACTAAAATATGATATAACAAATAAATGTCATGTTTTTATCAGAATTTATAATTTTCTCTTCGATTTGTTGATCACTATTACAATGAAAATTAACTTGTATACTTTATGAACAACTAAGAAAGCAACTAACATAATATAAACATTTTACACAAGACCGCCATTGTAGGAAGATAAAAAGGTCTTTTTTTTTTTTTTTGGTACTGTTTTTTTCTTTTACGTCAAGTTAACAAAGTCAATTGTTGTGCATGATACGCCCCCTTGAGCTTTCAACTTTATACATCAAGGAACATCAAATTTGTGGTCTCCAGAAACACCTTTTTCTCTATAGTCAGGATATTTTCACCCCACAAATATTCATTCTCACATCATGAAAATTCTTATTATCGAATTATTGAGTTTATTCCTTCTATTTTTACCCATAAGGAGTTAGTCCATCCCATGCTATATACATCCCATTTATAAGTAATGTCAATGATTCTATGCCACTCTTTTAATGATTAACCCCACCCCACCCCATTATGTACCTATCAATCAGTGACTATACGATTCCCATTAATGACTAAGTACTAAATTCAAGTATTCCAGTTAAGTAAAAGCTAAATTTTTCAGACTAATTACATTTGAAATTTACGATTCAATTTCGATTCTAAAACACAAGTGAATGATACATTCTCCATCTCATATCAGTGTGGGTACAGGTGGTACAAGAAACTATACACCTTAATGTGATGATTGAGGTCTTCAAATTTAATATATAAGAAGTGCTTGAACTTAAGTAAGGTTTTATATCAATTTTGTGATATAAGATATGTTGTTCATGTTCATGCTTTGACCCTTCTAAGTTAGAGTTGTAGCTCCGTCCCTGGGGATGATCCCCACCAGAGAACGCCTGATATCTCGAAGGCGAAGGAGCAGCTCTGTTGGGAGCCAAAGTTGCCTCTTCGCAAGGGTCTCCGTATGATGGTTTCAAACTCCACACTTTTAGCGACCACGGGGACAATGTGCTTCCATGTCCACAGACTAAGCAAAGTATATACTTTTCCAATTTAGTCAAACAACGAACTAGGGTTCCAAAAACCAATTTGAATGCATATATATCTCTCTGTGTACATAAACTCTAAATTATAAATTAAAAAATTTGACAGAGAAATTCATATTAAAAAAATATTTTTATATACGGTATATAACATAGGATAACGAAAGAAATCATAATTGTGATATAAAGAGGATTTACTTATTAATGGGGTTTACTTGTCTTTGTGCTTGGGGCAATGACGCAGCTAGTGAGGTACTAACCGAGGCGCGTCAATTGTTGGTTGAAAACTATTTCCAAACCCCCTCATAGGCCAGGGTTCGCCTCTGGCCTTTGAGAATTTCTGGAAGGACTCCCTCTAACCCAGGTTAAAGTCCTAGGAAAAAAAAAAAAGAAAACTTATTAATGGGGTACATATAGAATGGAGTAAATTAAATCATTGAGGGGATGAAAACATAAGTGGTAGGCTTCTTGTTTGATAATAAAAATTTGGAAAATTTAGAAAAATTGCAGTCACACTTCTTCTAGTTTATCATATCATCAAAGACATCCCCTCAATTTTTTGAATTTTCACTGACAACTTTTATCAGATTAAAAGTGTTAACTAGAATGCAATTTTAAATTACCCATGATATATTTTACAAAAAACTTCATCCACACCCCTCAAAATAGATATATTTTCAATGAGACTCGCACTATTTTTAATTTTTTTTTATATATTAAAATTTGGATCGATTAAAACTAGATTCGACTTAATTAAAATTTATTTTTTACGTATTAAATTCGAGTAAATTAAAAATTATATTTTTTTACGTATTAAAATTTGAGCCATTTAAAATTCTATTCGTGCAGATAAAAATTTATTTTTAATCAGCCCGAATCAAATTTTAATCAACTCTCATTAAATTTTAATCAGTTCGAATTTTGATACATAAAAAAAATATAAATTTTAATCGACTCAAATTTTAATACGTAAAAAATGAATTTTAATCAATTTTAATTGAATTTTAATTAACATGAATTTTAATAAGAAAAAATATAAATTTTAATTAACTTGAAGTAAATTTTAATCGGTGCTAACAGTTTAGGTAGAGCTTAAATGGGTTCGAATTTTAATATGTAAAAAAATAAGTTTAATAGGCTCAAATTTTAATACGTAAAAAAAATAAAATTTAATTAGTTGAAATCAAATTTTAATATGTAAAAAAATAAATTTTAATTGGCTCGATAGAAAGATTGTTTGTGTTTGTGTAAGAGTAATTTTAGTATTTTGGATTATTATTATTATTTTTTTATTAAAAATGGTGGTTTAACAGTAAATGGTGTCAATGATATTTTTGATAATAAAGAGAGTGTTCTTAAAGATATAATAAACTAGAAGATGTGTGACTAAAATTTTTTCTAAACATTTTAAACAATTGAGAATGGATAATTGTGGACCGAGAATGGACCCACTCGTTTCTCTACCATGAGGTTGATTGAATTGAACTCCCAAATGTCATTTCTTCGGACTTTAATGGTCATACCTTCCTCACGTTCACTCAATTGTCTCTCCAAAAGATAGAACCGTTTTGTCCATTTCCTAGGAATTAGGAAACTGCGATTTTACCGACACGTTGACAATGTATAACACAAGTAATTATTGTATGGGTGAAATGCAAACAAAATCCTTATGCTTAGGATCATTTGTATGTAACTTTCTCTTAGTTTAAACTGTTGCACTAAAATCTCTCAAGATTTTCTCTACAAAAATGGATGGACGTTAAAATTTTAACGGTAAGTGTAACCCACATGCTACAAACACAAGTAAGACACCAAATCTCCTAATTTTATAATATACAATTTTGAAATTACTTTCTCTCTCTCTCTCTGAACAAACCCACCATACCCCCACCACTCACTACCCAAAAACCCTAATCCCCTCCTACCGCAACCCCTTCTTTCCCTAAATCTCCCCAACTCCCTCCATTAAAGCCTTTATAAATCCTCTCTACCATCATTCTCTTCTTTCTCTCTCTTTCTATAAAGTCCTTGCCAAAACCGACCACAGGCATATCACAAAACCTAGCTTGGAATACCGATGAAAATCCGTAAACCTATCACAAAATTTGAGCCTAAAAACTGATGAAAACCCATCTGAGACCATAGTTTTGGGGATTTCAAAATTTTGAAAGCAGGATGATTCTATTGAAAATTGAAAATAGATAACAGGGATAGGGAGAGGGAGAGGTAGAGAGGGCAGAGGGTGTGAGTCAAAAGAGGGCATTCAATTGAAATTTGAATATAACAATAAGGCTATTTTAGTACTTTTATAGTTTCTTTGACGGACATCCACTTTTGCACGTTGGTCACGAGTTTAGGAAAGTTTAGTGCAATGGTTTAAAGTATGAGGAGGTTATGTGCAAATAAGCCCAAGTATTAGGGTGTTTTTGCATTTTGCCCTTATTGTATGTAATAGATTATCAATGAATCAAATTAAAATTCAGATGTGGCTTTTAAAGTCAAATTTGAATTTCGATTAGTTGAAATCCGATCCGATGTGCTGCTTGGTTGTATGATAGGAAATAAAATGTTGAAGTATCTTATCCAATATCTTTCTTTCAACAATTCACGGGGAAAATTTGTAGTTGAAAACAAAGAGGGTGAGGACAAAAGTGTCTTTGTCTGAGGGTTCATGCATGCATGACCTCTGACCGAAACTCACCAGACTGCTCGTGATTGATTTGAGGCTCGGTTCGATTTTAACTTCTTCACATTGAAAAAGTAGAAAAAAGTGATCAAGTTTTGAAGGTCGTTTATCATATAATACATAAATTATTTTCCATGGCCAATAATGATTAATTGGTATTCATAATTTTTACTCATGTTTGATTGCTAATTAGAAGATTGTGAATTCAAGTTTTGTTGGTTGTATTTTTTTTTATTTAACTGGATCAAACCGATTCTAAATAATTGAGATGAGCTTAAATAAAAAATGAAGTAAGCTTGAATATACCAAAATTCCAATGGTTCAATTACATTAGTACCCCTAATTACAACAAGAATGACTCCAAAGCACCACCTACCTAAATCCATTAATGCTATTGAAACAGATCTGGCTTGGTTAAAAATCCCATAAAGCATGACTTGCAGAAGAAATTTATGCCATCTTTGGTTATGACCTCGGAAAAAGTTTTTTATTTTCAAAATTTTAAAAACACTCAAAACCTGTTTGTTTAACATTTTTGTCCTTTAAATTTTGAAAAACAAATGAGGCCATGTTTGATTAACATCTCAGAAACAGTTTTTTGTTATCAAAATTTCAAAAAAAATCTAAAACTTGTTTATTTAACATTTTTGTTCTCTAAATTTTGAAAAAAAAAATGAGATTTGAGTCAAAGAAACAGAAAACAAGTGTAATTTGTTTTAAGAGTTTTCTTTGAAAATTTTGGAAACAATGAGAACAATATATATATATATATATATTGTGTGAGGGGTGTCTATATATATGGGTGTCTATCTATATATATATATTTTATATTTTAAAGTTTGGTTTATTGATTTTTTTTTTTTTATGAATTTGTCAATCTAAAAATAATTTTTTTTTATTAATGTTTAAATTACTGTTTCAATATCTATTTAGACTGTCTAAACAAGTTTTATTATTTTTTGTATTATAAAATTATTTTTGAAATCATCTAACCAAACAAGTTTTTTGTCTCAAAAAATATCAAAACCTCTTTCGTAAAACTGTTCTTAAAAATTATTTTCTAATACTATTTTTTGAAATACAAACAAAACAGTTTCCATTTCTCTTACTTTTCTAAGATGAGATAAAATCTAATGGGCTTTTTTTCTTCTACTTAATTCCAAGGCCTTCAACATTCAGAATTCTTTATCATTCTATCAACCCAAAATGTAGATGAACAGTTTATAAAAAAAAATAGTAATACTACATTGATCAAAATTAGGGACCAAATAAAGAATTCAAATGACATGACAGCTAACTTAGAAGACTGATTAAGCAATAATCACTGTCATGTCATTTGACAGTTTTATTAAATGACATGACAACTAATTTGGAAGGCTGTCATGTCATTTGGGCTCTTTATTTGATTCTTAATTTTGGTCAGCGTAACATTATTGAAAAAAAAATGATAGATTCATCGTCTTTGCAATATATATACTTGCAAAAAATAAAGAAAAGGTTTTGAGGTGTTTTATTCATTTTGTACATGAGCCAACTATTTGTTTGATGAAAATGTTGGTTTATGTAGGAGATTATTACAAGATCAAGGTGTGGAATTAAAAGTTTCACAGGTGGTTCTTTACCCTTCTTGGACAGCTTCATTACATTCGTACAGTTCAATTTCACCATGAGTGCAATTGGCAATCCCTTGTTCCATCCCCAAGAGAACCTAGTTGTTTTGGCGTCCTTGGATAAAACTGTTTTTGTTTGGGATATTGGTACCCTGAGAAAAGTTTCCCTAGTTGATGACATCCTTCCGTTAAGCCAGATGAACACAGATTTCTTTGGTGAAGTTGGCACTGTTGTTAAGGATGTCTAAAGGGCCATGATCGAGGAGTCAATTGGGTTTCATTCCGTCCCACTGTCCCTCTGATTGTTTTTGGAGCAGATGATCACCAAGAAACAATTTGGCAAATGAATGGTATGCTTGCTAAGGTCTGGTCTTCTTGTCATGGGTTTTATCCCTTTTTATAAGATTATTTTTCTGACAGTAATAGGATGCCTTTAAAGTACACATTCGATCGAATTTTGAATGAAGAGTAATATTTTTGGAGGTCACCATCAACTATATTTAAAGAATATCCACTTCTCGTATAAAGAGTATAATTATAGAACATTAATGTTAAGAAATATCAAGGATTGAACTTGAGTAGCTTGGTGGATTATTAAAGAAACTAAGGTCTAGACCAATGCATAATGATGCATTTAGCATGTTGAGAATTTTATAGTGAAGTATTACTTCTAAATACGATATTAGACCCTCGCCTCTATATGTTTGTGTTGCTTTGT